GCATGTTCCCTCTGTCGATTAGTTCTGGGGCAGCTACCATCTGCTCAGGCAGCTCGAGCTTACGCTCCAGATCAGTTCGGTGAGGACTCGGATGCCAGGGAGGACTCGATCCACAACGCTATATAGAGCACAATCGCGGCATGGCACATCGCAGTTCAGCACGGCGTAGCACAGCACATTCTTCGGCACAGTACATCATCATCGATACACTCAACCATGCACCTTGGCACGCTCTTTGGCGCGTTCCGTGGCGAGTCCACCTGGCACGTCGCGCGGCGCGTCCCCTGGCACGTCCCTTGGCACGTCCATTGGCACGTTCCGTAGCGCGTCCCCTTGGCACGTCCCGCGGTGCGTGCCCATGGCACGTCCCCTGGCACGTCGCCTGGCGCGTCCCTTGGGACGTTCCGCGGCGCGTCCTCTTGGCATGTTCCCTCTGTCGATTAGTTCTGGGGCAGCTACCATCTGCTCAGGCAGCTCGAGCTTACGATCCAGATCAGTTCGGTGAGGACTCGGATGCCAGGGAGGACTCGATCCACAACGCTATATAGAGCACAATCGCGGCATGGCACATCGCAGTTCAGCACGGCGTAGCACAGCACATTCCTCGGCACAGTACATCATCATCGATACATTCAGCATTGCATGTGCCCGTCGCCCAATTAGGTGTCTTTGAAATGTTGCAATGCCTTACATTTATATATTCCTTTCCGGGTTCGTGGGTCGATCATGTTTCCCCGGTTGGGACACGCGTGAAAACATGTGGGTTCTCAACGCCTTTACGCGGGACAGGCGTGAACACATGTAGGCTCACAACGCCGCCAAGCGGGACGAGCGTGGAAGTACACGGTCCTTTACGTCCCAGAGCGGGACAGTTGTGAAGACCTGTGGGCCCCTGGCGCCCCAGAGTGGGGCAAGCGTGAAAGCACGTGGGTCCCTGACGCCCCAGAGCGGGCCCAGCGTGAGACCAGATGGGTGCTTCACGCCCCAGAGCGGGACAGGCACGAAAACAAGGGGGCTCCTAGCGCCCCAGAGAGGTATAAGCGTGAGAGTACGTGAGTTTTGGAGCGGGGCACGCGTGAGAGCAGGTGGGTTCCGAACGCTGCAGAGCGGGACCAGCGTGACAAGATGTGGTTTCTGAGCGCCCCGGAGTTGGACGAGCATGAAAAATGGGCTCCTAACGCCCCAGGGCGGGACAAGCGTGACAATGCGTGGGTCCGCAAGGCTCCAGAGCAAGACAAGCGTGAAACTATGTGGGTACCCAACGTCCCAGAGCGGGACACGCGTGAAAACGCATGGGGTCCTGACGTCCCAGGGCGGGACAAGTGTAAAAGCACATGGCTTCTGACGCCCCAGAGCGGGGCAGCGTATGCCCCTCCCTCATCGGCGTGCCCCCTGGCTCGTCCGTTGTCGCGTTCCCTGGCTTGTGCCCGGCGTTTCCCCTGCCCTGGCATCGCTCGGACGTGCGCATTTTTTTCTCGGCGAGGACCCTGGAGGAGCATCCTGGACCATCGAGCCAAAAAATCACGCACGAAACCGAAACATGCACGGGAAACGGACGTCCGAGCGACGGCAAGCTGCCCGTTCCGTGGCGCGTTCCTGCCACATTCCGCGGCGCGTCCATGCGCCTCGCTCCCCGTGCCGTCCCGTCCCGCTTCGTCTCGTCCGTGCGCCCTGCTCCACGCGTCGCGTCGTCTCGGTCGGCATTTGAGCTCGAGCACAGCACGTCCCACGCGTTTCGACTGCAGCCTGCTCTGGGCCAGCTAATTATGCGTTCAGACAGGTCGATCTCGAGGTCCAGATCCGTTCGGTCAGGATTTGGATGCCTTGGACGATTTGATCCACATCGCTGTATAGCACAACGCAAGTCATCGCGGCATGACACATCTCATTGCAGCACGACAGAGCACAGCACAATCCTGAGCACAGTATATCCCGATTGATACCTTCAGCATTACAATTGCTGTCGCCTCATTCGGCGGCTTGAGAACGCAGCCATTCCTCGCGCTTCTAACTCCCTTTCCGGGTTCCTAGGTCGATCATGCTTCCGACCACCCCTTTGGAGGCCCCCCCGAAGTTCCGGAAAGCCTCCCGAGGACCCCGACCGAGACATCCAGTTGCTCCAATTTTGCGGTGCGTGGGCCCCAGAGGTCCGGACCTGTTCCCGGGGAACCGGCTTTTCGTCCCGAGTCGTTTTTGACGTTCCCGAGGCCCGGCTAGGGCCTCCAGAGGCCAAAACTGGCCCAAAACCGCCCGCTCCAATCCCTTTGGAGCGTCGGATCTCTGGAGAGGGGGAGAGTAGGGGGCCACATGCGAACCCTACCCCTACCCCCCACGATTTCTGAGGGGGAGGGTGGGGTTCACTTCGCTCGGGAGCTCCCGAACGAAGTGAACCCCACCCTCCCCCTGAGAAATCGTGAGGGGTAGGGGTAGGGTTCGCATGTGGCCCCCTAGAGAGGCTCGTCGCGTGGCCCCGGCGCCCAGGTCATCTCCGAGACCATTGCGGACGAGCGCATCTCCCAGGGGGGGGGGTCCCCGGCGAGGGCGGCGCGGTCAAAAGGCGCTGCGGCCCGGCGGTCAAAGGGCGCGGCCCGCGGGCTTCTAGCAGGGCATTTTTCAGGGGGCCACGTGCGAACCCTACCCCTACCCCCCACGATTTCTGAGGGGGAGGGGTAGGGTTCGACGTGGCCCCCTGTTTTTGTTCCTAGGCCTCCCAGATGGGGTCGAAGTGGATGGTGTCGGAGGATCGCTCCGCGCTCCGCATCGCCGATGCATCGGCGATGCGGCCCGGTGTGGAGCCCGATCTTCTCTGCGCCGACGTCGCGGACACGTCGCCGACGTCGCCGATCCATCGTCGATGCACCGTCGATGTATCGGTGATGCATCGGCGGTGCGGGTCGATCCTCCGACCCCATCTACTCGGACCCCATCTAGGAGGCCTCTAATTTTTGGACCTCCAGATCCCAATATTTTCGTCGGGCACGTCCCTCTACAGGAGGATTTTTAGATGAGAAACACGCCGTCCAAAAATAGTCTGGGGAGACGATTGTTCGACTATTGTTAATTCTATTCGTTCGATTGTTGTTGACTGTATTTGTATTTATTAGGCCTAGTTTAAAGTTTTCCCGTAAAGGGCGGAGGCCCAAGGTTCTTTTTTCCCGGAAAGGGCGCGGGCCCAGGGTTCTCTTTTAGTAGGTTAACCCCCCGGCCCCCCTGCGACTTGGGCCGGCGAAATTGTTCTGCGATAAATTACGTGCAGGAGTAGGGCCGGCGGAATTATTTTTGAGGATGTCCCTAGCGAAACGCTTGTTTTTCAGACTTTGTTGAGGATGTCTCGAGCGAAACGCTGGTTTTGCAGAGTTGGGGATGTCTCGAGCGAAACGCTTGGTTTCAGAATTTGTTGAGGATGTCTCGAGCGAAACGCTGGTTTTGCAGAGCCGACCGCGACACGGAAAAGCGCTCCTCGCGCAGGAATTCCGAAGATGTCTCGCGCGTGCCGCGTCCCGCGCGCAGGAATTTTGATTTCTTTGGGTTTTGACAGGATTTCTCTAGCGAAACGCTTGTTGTTTCATAATTTGTTGAGGATGTCTCGAGCGAAACGCTGGTTTTGCAAAATTGGGGGATGTCTCGAGCGGGGGCCTCGTGGGGGGCCAGAATTCAGAGGATGTCTCAGGCGAAATGCTTGTTTTCGTGTCCCGCTCGCAGGAATTCCGAGGATGTCTCGCGCGTGCCGCGTCCCGCGCGTAGGAATTCTGATGATTTTGATAGGATGTCTCGAGCGAAACGCTTGTCCCCAGCACGTTCAGTAGCGCGTCCCCTTGGCACGTCCCGCGGTGCGACCCCATGGCACGTCCCCTGGCACGTCGCCTGGCGCATCCCTTGGGACGTTTCGCGGCGCGTCCTCCTGGCATGTTCCCCTGTCCATTAGCTCTGGGGCAGCTACTATGTGTTCAGGCAGCTCGAGCTTAAGATCCAGATCAGTTCGGTCAGGACTCGGATGCAAAGGAGGACTCGATCCACGACGCTATAGAGCACAACCGCGGCATGGCACATCGCAATTCAGCACGGTGCAGCACAGCACAGCCCTCGGCACGGTACATCAAGATCGATACACTCAGCATTGCAACTTGGCACGTTCCTTGGCACGTTCCGTGGGGCGTCCCTTGGCGAGTCCCCCTGGCACGTCGCGTGGCGCGTCCCCTGGCACATTCCGTGGCACATCCATTGGCACGTTCCGTAGCGCGTCCTTTGGCACGTCCTACGGTGCGACCCCATGGCGCGTCCCCTGGCACGTCGCCTGGCGCATCCCTTGGGACGTTTCGCGGCGCGTCCTCCTGGCATGTTCCCCTGTCCATTAGCTCTGGGGCAGCTACTATGTGTTCAGGCAGCTCGAGCTTAAGATCCAGATCAGTTCGGTCAGGACTCGGATGCAAAGGAGGACTCGATCCACGACGCTATAGAGCACAGTCGCGCCATGGCACATCGCAATTCAGCACGGCGCAGCACAGCACAGCCCTCGGCAGGGTACATCAAGATCGATACACTCAGCATTGCATTTGCCCGTCACCCAATCAGGTGTCTTTGAAAACGCTGCCATGTGTTACAGTTCTATATTCCTTTCCGGGTTCGTGGGTCGATCATGTTAGATGGTTTACCCCCAGCCTCGATTTGCGCACTGCCTGCGAATGTAATTTACGATCCATAATATGGTCGCGTAGGGCCGGCGAATTAAAACGTTGAGTATGTCCCGAGCGAAACGCTGGCTTTTATGACATTCCGATCGATAAGTCACATGGTGAAGTGAGCATTTTCATTCGTTGCGGATGTCTCCAGCGAAACGCTTGTTTTGCAGAATGTGTTGAGGATACCTCGAGCGAAGCCATTGTTTTGTGTTGTATGGATGGTTTCTCTCCTGGGGACCAGACTTCGAGGGATACCTCGCACGAGATGCTCGTTTTCACGTGCGGTCGCCGCGTCCTGGACCGCGCCGTCGAGCGCTCGAGGCCCCCCCCCCCGGGGACGTCAAGGTCGGCGCCCGCGACCTGGTCAAGGCGCCTCGCGCGCGCGGGCGCCGCCGCGCGCGAGGGGGGCGGTCCCGGCAGGGCGGGGCCCCCGTGGGGGGGGTCGCAGAGGGAGGGTCCTCCCGAGGTGGGGCCGGGCAGCGGGCCCGGCTGGATGCTCCCGTGTTCGGGGGCGGCAAAGAGGGGGGTGATGACTAGGGGGGGTGGATATCATGGCGGGGGCCATGATATCTCCCCAGATCTCATGGCGCCTCGTCTTATCTCATTCCGTCCCTGGCCCCCCCGCTGGGCCGCGCACATGCCGCCGGCCATGCTTTGCACCCCGTCCTCTTGGACACCCCCCTCTTGGCCGCTCCTGAGTGTAGCGCGTGTCCTTCTTCCAGGGGCCGCTTGGAGCGGTTTCCCCCCCAAGGCAACCTCTGCCCAGACCCCACCTTTGTGCCCCCCCGACCTCGGTGGCGGCGGCGGTGGCGGTGGCGCTGGCGGCAACGATGTCGGGAGCGGCCAAGGGCCAAGAGGTGGGTGAAGATGTGTGGGGGGAGGGGGCGATCTCATGGCCAGGGCCATGATATCTCCCCAGATTTCACGGCGCCTCTTCTTATTTCAGTGCGTCCCTGGCCCACCCCATGGGCCGCGCACATGCCAAGGTCCATGATTTGGACGCCCCCCTCTTGGACGCCCCCGACGATGGCGGCGGTGGCGGCGGCAGGGGGCGACGGCGGCCTTGGCGACGGCGGCCTCGGCGACGGCGGCGGCGAGTGCGACGGCGGCGGCGAGTGCGACGGCGGCGGCGGCTGCGACGATGGCGTTGGCCCTCCGCGGTTCGTCCTGGGTCCTGGGTTTGTCTATGGTTCCTTCTGGGGGCGGCTATGCGCAAGAGTGGCCCTTCGCCGGAGTGATCTGTAGTGCGGATCCAATTTCATCCTGAGTGGGAAAACACAGAACATGAATCGTCGACCCCCAGGAAATAAAGAAAAATGTGGGAAGGGGGACAACTATATATATGTATATATATGTATATATATACATATATGAAACGATGGGGAATCCTCGATGTGTGTCTAAGTATTCGTGTGTCTCAGGGCCCCTTCAAATTCGGAACCCAGGATGGGCCTCCCCAAGAGTTGGTGGTGGTGTGTCTGGCGCTGCAAGTCATCCTCCAGCAGATGATGAATTCGACCATAGGGCTGGAGCAAGTGGCCCCACAGGGGAGAGGGGGCGCGGGAGCTTTGAATTGCCGATTCCCGTGCGAACGCCCACGTAGTCTGAATCTAGACGTCCTCGGGGTCCTGATCACCCGGACATCTGGCAACTCGGCAATTTCGCGCCAGAGGTGATTCGCCATGCCGATGTCCGAGCCCAGGGTTGTCAAGACCTATTCAGAGTGCAGAGCCAGTCCTGGGGAACGGTTCGAGAGCTCCGTGGGCCAGCGACCCGAAAACACCGAGTTATCAGTTCAGAGGTCTGGGCATATTGCTCCTCATCCTCCACGTCTCCTCCACTGCACTTCGCTACTCCTTCCGATCGCCCCCTGCTCGTCCTGTCTTTCCAGGAAAGGGCTTGGGTTCAGGTCTTTCTTTCAGTTTTGTAAGCTGTTCCTGGGCATCGACTTGGGAAGGGCCGGCTAATTCATTATGTGACAAATGACGGTGTCGCGAAGGGCAGGCGAATTACAAAGTTGAGGATGTCCTGAGCGAAACGTTGGTTGTCGAAATTTCGATCGGTAAAGCAAAGAATGCAGGGCCAGGGCTATTTGTTTGTTGGTAAACCCCTTCGGCTTCGACTTGCGTGGGGCGGGCGAATGTATTCCTCGATCAATAACGAGATCGCGTAGGCCTGGCGAATGAACAATTTGAGGATGTTCCGAGTGAAACGTTTATTGTTTTAATTCTGATCGATCAACTATATAGTAAACTGCACACTTTCGTTTGTTGCGGCTGTCTTGACCGCAACGCTTGTTTTGCAGAATGCGTAGAGGATGTCTCGAGCGAAGGGCTTGTTTTCCAGACCAGAATTTAGAGGGTGTCTCAGGTGAAATGCTTTTTTTCACGTGTCCAGGTCTTGAGGACGTCTCGAGCAAGACGCTTGGTTTCACCCCTGCTAAGAGAACGCATTGTGGACGCTGGAGGGGAAGGAGGAGGAGGAGGAGGAGGAGCAACAGTTAGACGAGTGGCCCCTGCTTAGGGAACGCATTGTGGATGCTGGAGGAGGAGGAGGAGCAAGAGGAGCACGAGGAGGATGAATGCCAGATAGCCTCCCCCGACCGCGCCATCCAGCCAGGAGTTCTTCCGCCGCAGCGCCCTGACCTGATCCGCTACTCGTCCAGCGTTCTGTTCCTTGCTGCTGGGTTGGTTATCGAAACCGGTCCTGGCCAGGCCAATCCTTCCCGTGATCGGCCCTAGCAGTCCCACTATCCCGCCTTTCTCTTGCCCCTCGTGCACAGGAGCTCCTGAATCAGCTGCTCCATGACGAGGAGATGGCGAAGACAGTGGGCGCGTGGACCCGCGTGAGAGGCACTGCAGTTGAGACCGATGGCAAGGGTGGGTGACACTCCCAAGGATACCCTTGCATCCGCGCCCTTCTGGTCCATCCCTGACTGCTTTCGATGGCCCGCCGCGCTCGAAAAAGGTTCAACACCAGCGTCCAGGGGGCTTGCATCCTTACAGTGGAGACCAATGCCAAGAAACACCCTGCATTTCCGTCGGGCGGACACCCAATCTACTTTCAACGCCGTCCTGCTTCATGTTTCCACCTACTTCTTCCGACCGGGGGGTAACGTTTACATGGGTGGTTAGTTCTTTAGTGCCGCTCTAGATTGGACCAGGGCGTGACGGAGCGAAGGGAGGACGAGAAAGTGTCCATGGAAGAGTTGGCAGGCTGCAGCTCCAGTCTGGCTGTACCCATGCAGAGCATTCGAAAATTAGCGAAGCGTATATTCAGGTTCAATCACGAGTTTGAGGAAGATTTGCGTGATATGGTTGATTCATCGTTTGTGTGATTTGCGGCATCGAACAACGTGGTAGTTGTTATTGATTAATTGATGGCTTTTCTGTTGCCCTCTTACTCACATCAAGAATTCTCGAGGCAATATTCGACCATCCAGGAATAGTCTTGGAGGCAACAGTATGAGATGTGATATGGCGGCGCGCGAGAGGGGACACTGCGGATTTTTTCGGGAGATGGGGGGGACAAGCGTGGAGGACACAGGATTGATACAATTGGGAGGAGGAGAGGGTGGAGGAGGATGATTGACAGTACCTCCGCCAGCGGCAGCGATGGGAGAGACAGGAGGTTGGGGAGTCGGACCCTTCTTCTTTTTCTCCCCACATGGGTGGTGGGTGGGGGGAGTAGGAGGAAGGGTGGACTGGTGAGAAGGAGATGTGCGTACAAGCATTGTTTTTCCTGGAAAGGGCGTGGGCCCAGGATTCTCTTTTAGCTGCTTACCCCTGGAATCGACTTGAAACGGGCCAGCGGATTTCCGCTCGATAACAACACGAAGTAAAGTCCGATTCGGCGTGTAAAAAATCGTTTCGCGTGTGCCCGCTCGAAGAAGATGTGTGCATTTTTATTTCGGATCTTCGATCAATGACGGGGTCCGCAGACACATGCTTTCTCGTGTCAGAAAATTGGATGCGGAGCGTCTTGCGCAGAATCCACGATCAATTCCTATGCATGGAGACCCTAAGTGTTTGTCAACAGAATTGGACAAGTTGATTTCTTGTGTGCCCGATCGAGGACGGCGCGTCCCGCGCGCAAGACGTTCGAGGATGTCTCGAGCGAAACGCTTGTGTTGCAGATGGAATGTTGGCGTTTGGCGTGCCCCGCACCCTGCGTGCTCAATATCTGAGGATGTCTCCGGCGACACGCTTGTTTTGCAGCCATTGAAAAGCATGCGCGCCCCAGGATGGTCCTGGGAGTGCGGTCGCACCGATATGTACACAGGATCGTGGCCATGGGAACGCGGATGCTGCGTAATGTATTGCGGATTCCGGCCCTGGGAGAGTGGACATTGCGTAAATCATTAGGGAGCGCGGCCTTCGGAACGCGGACACAGCGTAGTTTACAAGAGATCGTGGCCCAGGGAGAGCGGACGCAGCGTAATTGACGTGGGATCTTGGCCCTGGGGGGGGCGGACACAGCGTAATGCATTGGGGATCCTGCCCCGGGGGGCGCGGACAAAGCTTAATTGACTAGGGGCCGTGGCCCTGGGGAGGCGGACACAGCGTAATGCATTTTGTATCCTGCCCCTGGGGGCGCGGACGCAGCGTAATTGACTAGGGATCCTGCCCCTGGTGGCGTGGACGCAGTGTAGTTTACAAGAGATCGTGGCCCTGAGAGCGCGAACCCAGCGTAATGTACGAGGGATCGTGGCCCTCGCAGCACGAACCCTGCAACGGACCATGGCCCTAGAGCGTGAATCTTGTGTAATCTCCGATGGATCGTTGCCTTGGGACCGCGAAGCCAGTGTAATGTTCGAAGGACCGTAGCCTTGAGAGCGTGAGCCCCGTGGAATTTACGACGGATCGCGGCCCTGGGAACGTGGACGCCGCGTGATTTACTATGGATCGTTGTCTTGGGAGCGCGGACGCAGCGTTCCCTGGCACGTCCCCTGGCACGTTCCGTGGCGCGTCCCCCTGGCACGTTCCGTGGCGCGTACCGTGGCGCGCCCCCTGGCACATCGCGCGGCGAGTTCCCTGGCACGTCCCCTGCCACGTCCACTGGCACGTCCCGTGTCGTGTCCCTTGGCATGTCACTGTGCGGCGCGGCACAGCGCAGAGAAGCACAACACAGCCCCTGGCACAGTAGAATCACCATTGATACCGGGTACGTTCCCTGGCGCCTCCCCTGGGCACGTCGCGCGACGCGTTCCCTGGCACGTCCCCTGGCACGTCCCCTGGCACGTCCCCTGGCACGTCCCCTGGCACGTCCGCTGGCACGTTCCGTGACGCGTACCCCTGGCACGTCCCGCTGAGCGTCCCCTTGGCACATCTCGCGGTGAGTCCCTTGGCTTGTCCGCTGCCACGTCCATTGGCACGTCCCGTGTCGCGTCCCCTGGCATGTCATTGCGCGGCGCGGCACAGCGCAGAGAAGCACAACACAGCCCCTGGCACAGTAGCATCCCTATTGATACCTGGCGCGTTCCCTGGCGCCTCCCCTGGGCACGTCGCGCGGCGCGTCCCCTGGCGCGTCCCCTGGCACGTCCCCTGGCACGTGAGCTGGCACGTCCCCCCGCACGTTCCGTGGCGCGTCCCGTGGCGCGTCCCCCTGGCACATCGCGCGGCGCGTGGGCACGTCCCTTGTTACGTCCACTGGCAAGTTCCGTGGCTCGTCCCTTGGCACGCCACTGTGCGGCGCCGCACAGCGCAGAGTTGTACAACACAGCCCTTGACACGCGTCATTACCATGGATATCTTCAGCACTGCTACTGCCCATTGCACAATTGAGGTGCTTGGAAACGTTTCCATTCCCCGCAGCTCTAAATCCCTTTCCGGGTTCGTGGTCCGATCATGTTCCCGGAAAGTGTTCCGGCCTAGGCCCAGGGTTTTCTTTTAATTTGTATTTTTGTTCCCCGGGTCCCATGCTGAGATGGGCCGGCGAATGCTTGCTAAATTGCAAAAACGAGGCAATATCCTATTCGGCGTGGAAAAAATGCGTTTCGCGCGTGCCTGCTCTAGGAAAATGTGTTCCCCATCTCGGGTCCTCGTTGCTTAGGGTCCGCAGACCTCCGATTTCCTTCGTATGAACAGGGTGCAGAGTGTTTTGCGCAGAATCCGAATTAAGTAACGAGAGGTTCTAAAATTGTGAAGGAAAACATTGGAAAGTTGACTTTTCTCGTGCCCGCTCGAGGATGGCGCGTCCTGCGCGCAGGGATTTCGAGGATGTATCGAGCACTGCGCTGAAGGAATGCTGGCTCTCACTCGAGGATGGCGTGCCCTGCGCGCCGAACATCTGAGGATGTCTCGATCGAGACGCTGGTTTCGTAGTGCTTGAAAGGCCTGGGCTCCCTAGGACGCCCAGGTGGTTTTGGGAGGTCGGACCGTTATTTACAAGGGATCGTAGCCCTGGGACCGCGGCTGCCGCATATTATCACACGTGAGATGCGTCACGACGTCACGCCATATTGACCGTACTTCTGCTACTTATACTTCTGCTTTTGTTTCTACTACCACTACTACTACTACTACTACTACTACTACTACTACTACTACTACTACGACGACGGCGACGACGACGATTACTACGACCACTACGACTCTTAGTATTACTACTACTGTTGCTGTTGCTGCTGCTACTACTACTACTATACTACGATCACTACTACTACTACTACTACTACTACTACTACTACTACTACTACTACTACTACTACTACTACTACTACTACTACTACTACTACTACTACTACTACTACTACTACTACTACTACTACTACTACTACTACTACTACTACTACTACTACTACTACTACTACTACTACTACTACTACTACTACTACGGCTACTACTACTACGACGACGATTACTACTATTATTTCTACTACTACAACTACTGGTACTACAACTACTACTACTACTACTACCACCACTACTACGATTACTACTACGATTACTACTACTGCCAATACTACGTCTACTACTACCACTACTACTACTACTACTACTACGACGACGGCGACGACGACGATTACTACGACCACTACGACTCTTAGTATTACTACTACTACTACTGCTACTACTACTACTACTACGACTAGACTACGATTACTACTTTTACTACCACTACCACGACGACTACTATTCCTACTACTGCTACGACTACTACTACGACTACTACTACTACTACTACTACTACTACTACTACTACTACTACGACTACTACTACTACTACTACTACTACTACTACTACTACTACGACTACTACGACTACTACTACTACTACTACTACTAATATTACTACTATTACTTTTACTATGACTACTACTACTACTACTGCTACTACTACTACTACGACGACTACTACTACCACTACTACTACTACTACTACTACGACTACTACTACTACTACTACTACTACTACTACTACTATTACTACACTACACTTACTACTACTACTACGACTACGATTACTACTACTACGATTTCTACTACTATTAATACTACGTCTACTAGTACATGTACCACTACTACGACTACTTCTACGACTACTACTACGACTACTACAACGACGACGGCGACGACGGCGATTACTACGACCACTACGACTCTTAGTGTTACTACTACCCATGCTGCTACTACTACTACTACTACTACTACTAGACTACTATTACTACTACTACTACTAATATTACTACTATTACTTTTACTATGACTACTACTACTCCTACTAATACTACTACTACTACTACTACTACTGCTACTACTACTACTACGACGACTACTACTACTACTACCACTACTACTACTACTACTACTATTACTACACTACACTACTACTACTACCACTACGACTACGATTACTACTACTACGATTTCTACTACTATTAATACTACGTCTACTAGTACAAGTACCACTACTACGACTACTTCTACGACTACTACTACGACTACTACAACGACGACGGCGATTACTACGACCACTACGACTCTTAGTGTTACTACTACCCATGCTACTACTACTACTACTACCACTACTACTACTACTACTACTACTACTACTACTACTACTAGACTACTATTACTACTACTACTACTACTACTACTACTACTACTACTACTACCACTACACCTACCACTAATACTACTACTACTACTATTACTACTACTACGATTACTACTACGACTACTTCTACTACGGCCACTACGACTACTACTACGACTACGACTACTACTACTACTTCTAGTACGACGACTACTACTACTACTATTACTTCTACTACTACAACTACTGGTACTATTACTACTACTACTACTACTACTACTATTACTACTACTACTACTACTACGACTACTACGATTACTCCTACTACTACTATTACTACTACTACTTCTAATACTACGCCTACTACTACAAGTACACTACTACTACTACTACTACTACTACTACTACTACTACTACTACTACTACTACTACTACTACTACTACTACTACTACTACTACTACTACCACTACTACTACTACTACTACTACTACTACTACTACTACTACTACTACTAGTACTACTAGTACCAGTACTATTGCCAGCTACTGCTACTGCTACGTCTACTGCTACTACTACTACGACTACTACTACTACTACTACTACTACTACTACTACGACTACTACGACTCATATACCTACTCCTACCTACTACCATGACTACGACTACTACTACTACTGCTACTACTACTACTACTACTACTACTACTACTACTACTACTACTACCACTACCACTACCACTACCACTACGACTTCTACGTCTACTACTTCTGCGACTACTACTACTACTACTACTACTACTATTACTACTATTATTACTACTACTACTACTACTACTACTACTACGACTACTATTACTCTTACTGCTACTGCTACTACTATTAGTCGCACTGCGATTATATTAGTATTCTTCTACTTCTACAACTACAACTACCAGTCCTACTACTACTACTACTACTACTACTACTACTACTACGACTACTACTACTACTTTTACTTCTACGACTACTACTACGACTACGACTAATACTGCTGCTACTACAACAACAACTACTACTACTACCACTACCACTACTACTACTACTACTACTACTACTACTACCATACTACTACTACTACTGCTACTACTACTACCACGACTACTACTACTACGGCTATTACTACTACTACGACTACTACTACTACTACTACTACTAATATTACTACTACTACTGCTGTGACTACTACTACTACTACTACTACTACTACTACTACTACCACTACTACTACTACTACTACGACTACTACTCCTACTACTACTACTACCGCTACTACGACTACTACCACCACCACCACCACCACCACCACTACTACTACTACTACTACTACTACTACTACTACTGCTGCTGCTGCTCCTACTACTACTACTGCTGCTCCTCTTCCTCTTACTATTCCAGGACATGTTTCGGAGTCTCGCACCAGTCGTTGTCGAGGTTAGTTTTTGCACCTGGACTTGTTTCGGTTTCGTTTGTCAGGGACTCTAGGCCGTTAGATTTCAGGAGAATGGCAATTGCGACCTGGTCAGGCCGCCGCACTGGCCGACACCACCAGGCCACGCGCCCGTCGTCCCAATGTGCGCGGGCACCTTCGGGATCAAACGCTGGAGGTTTCGGTGGGGATCGCTCGAAGCAAAACAATTGAATTGGTTTGGCGTTTGGGGAGCCTCGTGGGGCCATTCGGGTTCTGTTGGGGTCGTTTTGGAAGCTGTCGGGCGCCTGTGGGGCAAACTCTGGTCCTTTGTGGCTCTTTTTTTGGCCGGCTTCGAAGCCTTGGAGGGCGCCAGGGAGGCGTCGGGCCGCCCAGGGAGTCTCGGGGGGGGATGCATGCGGCTGGGTGTGATGATGAGGGTCGGGGCCTTAGAATGTGTAAGAAGCCAGTTTCAGACGATCCATGCTCAATTCCATTGGCATCTTGTCGACGTGCCATGGTGCAAGCTGGTAAATGTGGCACCGTATACGCAATGCAATATACGTGGCTTGGGGGGGACAGTGTACGTGGTGCAATTCACGGCACTCAACATATAGTCACCGGTAAAAGTACACATGTATCAACATGTGTAGCGTGCAAGCGATGCGGTGCAAGCGATGGGTGCAAGTGTTGCGACGTGAGGGTTGCATTGTGCAAAATGTGTTACGTAGTTCATGCGGTGCGATCTACGTGGCGCAATCTATCGGACGCAATCCATGTTGCAAAATCACGCGGTTCAATGTATGCGAGTCCGAAACTAATGAAAAACAAGCGGCGTTATTACTTTCGAGTCGCAAGAGGTATGGCCCTTGCTTCTTTTCAACGCCAATCCATGAACCTCTCTTGGGGCGCGTTTTGATTGGAATGGTGACGGGAATCCAACGGGAAGCTTCCCAGCCGCCCAACGCGGCCCAAGATGTCCAAAGCCTCTAAGTTCGGTTCTAAACCGTTTGGGATGCTATCCCTGGGAGGTTACATCCAGCGTCGGCGCTGGTACGTCCGTAGTCGAAAACCAAACCAAACTGGTACAATCCCGCTTCATTCCGAGAACAATCCCGACGAATCCAGTTCGATCCCCGGCTTCCTTCAGCTTCATCTGGCTAAGTGGCCCCTTTTAACCGGCTGTGTTATCACTTAACCGCCGCTACGAAGACTTACCACGAGTTTCATTATGAAAGGTTGGGGCCCTCTTCTCCTTCTCCACGTCCCGCTCCTTCTCGATCTTCATCCTGCTCCCCTCCTTCCCCTTTTCCTCTACATACTTTTATCCTCCATGCTCCCCCACAGTGGGGGCACATGCCAAGAAACACCCTGCTTTCCTCCAGGTTGCCCTGGGTTTCTTTGGTTTTGATGGACTTGCCATGGAAAGCGTGACGTTCCCACACCAAAATTTAATGGACGTCCTGGGGTTTCAGGGTTGGGTTTATTGTGGAAGGTTTCTTGTGGAAAGGCTTCCACGGTAGCCTCATCTCCTCATGCACGTTCCGCCTCTTCCTTCCGTCGTCTTGTTCCTGTTTCTGTCCTCCTCCCTCCCGCGGTGGCCCGCCACACAGGACGTACAGGCTGCTCGTGTCGTTGCAGGTGGACATAGGCGCGCCTTCGCGCGCAGGGACGGGATGAGGACATTCAGATCTCGGGAGCGGCCAAGAGGGGGGTGATGAGGGGGGGATATCATGGCGTGGGCCATGATACTTCCTCAAATTGCATGGCGTCTCTTCTGATTTCATTACGTTCCCGCCCCCCCTGGATCGCGCACATGCCCACGGCCACGATTTGCGCCCCCCTCCTCTTGGACGCTCCCCTCTTGGCCGCCCCCGAAGATCCGACGTTTAGAGCGTTTAGAGGAACAACGCACGGCATTGACAGACATTTTAGGAGCTCCGCTCAGATTTCTTAGGTCGGTATTTTAGCGGGCGGAGAGCGGTATGCAATAAACTTGCCCGCCCTTTGAGGACGTTTGCCCCCCGCGGGCGGCTGCAAAGTTTATACCCTTACGGTGCCACGTCGGGGTACAAATTTTCCAGCCGCCCGGGGGGCAGGCGTCCCCGAAGACGGAACGTTTATGTTATACCGTTCCTCGCCCGGTTAAGTGTTGGGACTTCCTGGCGGCGGATAATGCGTCGCCCCTGGCGTGCTCCGCGCGCCAGGAAATGGGATCCAGCGCCGATACAAGAAATCCGCGCTGAGCTCCAAAGGGGCATGCTCATGCAGTTCTTCTGACGTGACGACCAGATCGCGATCACACGTCTTTCTTTGATTTGGGCCAGTGTAGACCAACAGTTCTGATACGCGCCAGCATGTTCGACAAGGACAGACAATATCTGTAGTGCCACTGCTGGGCGGAATGGGAATTGATGGAGGGTATTTAGGGAGATGGTGATGAAAAGGTCGAGGGATGGTAGGGGTGCAACGCCAGTGGCAACCAACGCTGACAAGGAGACAGTGTTCTCGTCCTGCTTCGTATCGCACGTGGTCAAGTTCCTCGCGAGTTGAGCCAAATTGTTTACGGTCGACGCCAGGTCTGGAGCGGTAGGGGCTTCCCCCCCACCCACGTCCGCATCAAGAAGGTGCGGCGGGTCTATCACGTGCCCGAGAGTCACGTGCGTCTAACATACAGTGTAGACCCATGCCAAGAAACACCCTGCTTGCCTCCAGGGTGCACTGGGTTTCTTGGGCTTCGATGTTTCTGCCATGATAAACGTGACGTCCCCACGCCGAAAATCAATGGACCTCCTCGGGCCTCAGGGTTGGGTTTCTTGTGGAAGGCTTCTTGTGGACTGGCCTCCACTGTATTGTTTGGTCTGACGTGCCCTGGCATAGGCAAAATGATGCCACCACTGGCGGGCAAAGTCTGACTTCTGCAAATGCAGGCACTGCCGCCGTGCAGCGTGTCGTGCCCATCTTGGGAGCGACTTCGGCGTGTCTTGGCACGGTGGGGCCGTCCTGGCGGCCTCAGCTGCCTTCCTGGGTCGCCTTGGAAGGCCATGCTGGCGGAGGAGGAGGAGGAGGAGGAGGAGGAAGAAGAAGAGCAGGAGGAGGAGGAGGAGGGGGAGGAAGAGGAGGAAGAGGAGGAGTCTTGGACGGCCACGTTGGTGATCCTGGACTCTTTGGAGGGTGCCGTGGAGGAGTAGGGGCGCCCAGGAGGAGCGTTATCAGGGACGGGCGGAGGCACGCAGTCGGATACGGCGAGCGGGAGGAGGCCTGAACCAAAACTTCGTGACACCCTGTCAGACAGATTCAGGCGATCGCAAATTGATCGTTCTCTTATTCATTATTTTGCCGGTCGGCGCGGGCCCTCGCGCCCCCCCCCCCCTTTCCCCCCCCCATACGGAGTAGATCCTGGCTGTGTTTGGCGCCTGCTTCAGGCAGGTGGAGCCTCCTCCACAGGACGCGCAAACAGTCGCATTAAGCAGAGGTTTGGGGCCACAACAACCCCCCCCTCCCCCCTCCCTTTCCGCCCAGTGTCGCGACACGCCGAACAAGAGAACGCTCTCACCTGCCAAGTTCAGGCGATCGCAAACATGGATCAAAGAGGCGTGGATCAGCGACGGTGTCCGTTGTCAAGGGGCATCACGGATTTCCGCCGCCGAGCGAGGTGGCACTGGCCGCATTTTGGGGAGGGCACCTCCCCCGATGCATGGATTTGGCGACCGCGCGCCAAATCCATGGATCGCTAATCCATGTTGTCGCGCCCCCCACTGATGCGGGGCAATTCAACACGCCACCGCCGTGCTGGCGCAGTGGCGGACAGAACAGCAGAGCAAAGCGAAGCGAAGCGAGAGCCTCCGAGGGCCCCGAGGACCCCCGCGGCCCCCCGAGGGCCACCAGCGCCTCTGCACCGCACCCACGTGCAGCCCACGTCTTCGCCTCCGAGCTGAGACGCCACGGATGGCCGGGCATGCACAGCGGATGCACACGGGCTGCGTTTTGGGCGCAGTTCATCGGAGCGGAGGTCCTTTCTTGCAAGATTAGGGGAACGAAGAATGATTGTGTCATTCTTCGTTCCCCTAGCAGTATCACGGGTTGAGCCGTTCTCGATTGATAGTTCGGTTCATCAGCAGTGAGGTTGATGCAATCTGACTGTAGCCGAGGGTTGCACAGCATCTATGGTGTGTGGTATGCAGAACTTGCGTTTGCGACCCGCCGCCTCTCTTCCCAAGGTAGGCTCGATGCGTCGCAAGATGGGTCTCATGTGCACGCGCGAGCGTATGTTTACCTCTTGGTGCTTCCCGTGCTGCACCCTGATAGGCGAACGGCCTGAAATTGTCCTCCATGTCCGCCTGCTGGCACCACAGCCTCAACACCAGCAGTGCTCCAAGACACTAAGCCAGCGACCTCGAGCCCTCACAAAGTACACGCGCTTTCCGTCCCCGTGCCAAGCAGGTTTAATTAGTAGCTTTCGGCCCACCGTGCCACCGGGCCGTGCCTGGGTTGTGGGTCTGAGGCCTCTGGGATCTGGGATGGTCGTCGGCATCTCGTCGAGGCCTCTCGGGTGAGGCACTTTCGAGGCTGTTTGCGGGTGTTCTTGCGGTCTCTTTCGGGCCTCTCCTGGGCCCCATTCAGGCCGTGTGGGGGCCTCTCGGGGGGCCGCTTGGAGGGCTGTTGAGGCCTCTTGGGGACCTCTCGGGCGCCTCTTGGGGTGAAATGCTTGGATTTTCGGTTCGTATTCCCCCTCTTGGCCGTCCTGGGGGCCTCTCTCTTGGGCCGTCTTGGGGACCTCTTGGACCGTGTTTTGGCTCTTTGGGAGGCCTCTGGGGTCGTTTTGGGGGGCCTCTTGCGACGTGTTTGAGCGTTGGAACCTAGATAGGAGGAGAACTTCAAAAATACTTAACCTACGGAGCATTTATGATTTGGGTCTCTCGGGGCCCTCTTGGGAAGGCACTTGGGGCTCTCTTGGGGCGTCTCGATCCACGCTCGTGTTCCCCCCCTCTCGCACCCGTGTTCCCTTACTGACCGCCTGCTCCGCCCTCTATATGGGCGGCGGGCCTCCCCCTCATCCCCAAGGATCCTCCGTTGCCTTGATCTTTCCATGCAGTGCCGTTTTTAGTACATGCTCCGCGTGCGGATCACGCACTAAAAATGCAGGGATTCAGTGTTAAACGCAACGATGCGTTCATGCACATATTCAGTCATACATTAATCATGGTTTTATATATATATATATGCACACACACTACAGTTTAAACATCCTATGTATGAAAAACTGCCCTGTACGCGGCCCCCCGCGGTCTCGAACCCTTCCCGGGGACCCGCGCTCCAGCCTGCCTAGCTGTCCGACGGCCGGGGGCCGGCAAGGGCTCCCAGGGCCCACGAGCGGCCAGGCACCGCCCGTCGTGCTCTTGGTCGTGTGATCCTTTTTGTTTTATCCCTTGCTTGGCCGATCGGCGCGGGCCCTCGCCCGCCCCCCCCCGCCCCTTGTCCGAGGCCCGAAAACCATCACCTCACTAATTTTGGGCCCCAGGGCCCACTGAGGCCCCAGGGGCCCCAGAATAGTGAAGTGTTTTTTTTCCCACGTGAGGACCCCGGAATTCATCACTTCACTAAACCGAACCCAGGACGAAAGTCAGGGGCCGAATTGCTGCTGTGATGCAACATCGGTCTCGTACCTTGGAGTAGATCCTGGCTATTTTTCGGCGCCCGTCTCGAGCAGGTGGAGTCTCCCCCAGAGGACGCACTGCCGCCAACAGTCGCGTTCAGCAGAGGTCCGGAGCTAGCCCTCCCCCTTTTCGCCCAATGTCGAAGCGCCGAACATGAAAGCGTTCACGTGCTTTTGGTCATGATTGGGGTCGAGGACCAGGGGCCGAGGACCGACGACGACGTCGACGGCGGCGGCGAAGTGGATCCAGGGCAGCCGACGCTGAGATGCTCTGGGCGCTTTGAGCCTCAGAGTGTGTGTGTGTGTGTGTGTGTGTGTGTGTGTGGCGGGGGGGGGGGGGCGGGGGGAAAACCGCGGCTGCGGCTTCGGCAAATAGGGTGCGTGCTCGAGGGGGTGTGCTGATGGTGACGTGCTTTTGGTTGTGCTTCCCGAGCGGAGGCGCCCTGTTCGTCCGCATCCTGCAGCAGGAGCAGGCCCCATGGCCGCCCACTGGGGCCGCGCGCCGAGCCCCGACCCCGGCGCTCCTTCCAAGGGGCATCGGCAACGGGGGGGGGCATTATACAGCGGAGACTCGCGCCAAGAAGCACCCCTGCTCGCCTCCAGGGTGTCCTGGGTTTCTTGGGTCTCGGTGGCTTTGCAGCGGAAAGCGTAACGTTCCCCACGCCAGAAATCCATGGACGTGAGGTCTCAGGGTTGGGTTTCTTGTGGGCTGGCCTCCACTGTACACGTTCGTTCGTGCGCACGGGCGTTTCAACATACCGTTCATCCCTCCTCCTGCTACTCCTGTTCACCTTTTGGGCGTACCTCGCACCCTTTGTATTGACGGAGGCACCAACCACCAACAGAGTGAGCGGAGCGGAGATGCCAGGCTCACGAAGACAGCCGCCACTAAGAATGGCCGAGGGCTCGGTGTTTCAGAGCTAGAGTTGACGGCGCAGCACAGAGATCGCAGCCAGTTCAGCGACAATCGTTTCCCTGATGCAGCCTGCTAAGCCGTCTCAGCCGCGCAGCGAAGTGCGGCACATTCACACCAGCAGCAGCAGAGAGATCGAGGAGCGAGCGAGAGAGAGAGAGAGAAAGAGCTGGCGAGATCAACAAGTACCTGGCCGCCTCTTTTTTTGCCTTGTTGCAGGGGGGAGTGTGGAGGGGGGGTGAGCAGCGGGGGTAGAGAGTGGAGGCCCTCAGAGCTTGCCGCCGGCCAGTCGAGGCAGCGGCAGGCGCCTGTCTTTTCCCCCAAAAGATTGTTCTACGGTGCAGGGGCCCCTGCAGCGGGGCAGCGGCGCGGGGGGCCCGCGTAGGCAGCCCCCCGCCTCGCCTCGCCCCAGGCAGTTCTTCGGGCCGACGAAGGTCGACTAGAGGGGTTGCGACCATAAGGATCCCAGGGGCCCTCCCAAGTTTCACTAGGGGCCTGAGACCATGGACCTCCGAGGGTCTTATCCTTATCCTGCTCCTGCTCCTCCTCCTGGTCCTCCATTCAACGCCCCGACGATTGCAGGGGGGGCAAGATTTAGATAGACAAAGAACGCCACAAACATAAACGGTTGGCTCTCCGCGCGGCTTCTTGGATCCGCGCTGGCGCGCCGGCGAGGGTCCAGCGCGGATCCAATGAATCCGCGAAGAGCGCTAGAAGTTGTTGTTTCCGCCGTTGGTTTTCTCAATATAAGCGCTCGTGCGCACGGGCGTTCCAACGCCCCGTTATTTCCTCCTCCTGTTCCCCCTCCTCCGGTTCCTCCTCTTGCTCCTGCTGCTGCTCCTCCTCCCCTCCCTCCTCCTCCCCCTCCTCCTCCTCCTCCTCTCCTCCCTCCTCCTCCTCCTCTCCCTCCTCCTCCTCTCTCTCTCCTCCTCCTCCTCCGCCTCCCCCCATCCTCCGCCTCTTCCTCCTCTCCTCCTCCTCCTCATCCTCCTCCCTCCTCCTCCTCCTCCTCCTCCTCCTCCTCCTCCTCCTCCTCCTCCTCCTCCTCCTTTCTCCACCTCCTGTTCCTCCTCCTCATCCTGGCCCTCATCCTCCTTCCGCCTCCTCATCCTGCTCCTCCTCTTCCCGCTCTTCCGCTCAACGCCCCGAGGATTGCAGGATCGTGCGTTTCAACACCCCGTTCATGTTGTAGTGCGTAGTAGGGATTATCCGACGCATGTTTGGGCCTTTTGGGGGCGCTTGTTTGGGTCTGCTTGGGGGTCGTGGGACTCCTCGTTAGATCATCCGTGGTGGCTATAGTCGCCTTCGTGGAAATTCGCGGTCCGTCGACAAGCTACTTCGGCATTTTGGGACAGCCAGAAAGCCGTCGAGACGCCCAGGTGGTGCTGGTCGGGGCGGGGGGCCATTGCATAAAGGAAACAAGTCCGAGCAGGGCAGCACGCACCACGACGACTATGGAGACGAGGCTCGCATACGATCCGCACCGAGGCAGAAGCTGCACGGACGCGTAGAGAGGAGGAGGACGAGAGAGGAGGAGGAGGTAGAGGAGGACAGAGGGGTGGCGCACGCACATGAATGCTGGTGGGAGGGGTGTGCCTTACAACCCAAGAGAAACACAGCCAGACAGCCTCAACTCCACTACTTGCCATCGGGGCACAGTGGTTGACTACGAGCACTTCGGCTGTATCATATATCGGGGAATTGGACCCCCAACCCCGTGGGCGGCACATGTTTTTACAATTCTCCCCGCAGACCCCTTTTTAGTCCCGGGGGGGGCGACCATTTTCGAGGCGTTTCGGGGCCGGGCCCGTCGGGGGTCTGCAAATCGGCCCCCAGAGCGGTCAGGCAGCCGTCCTGGCGGCCCGACGGCCCCGAACCACCCGGAAGTCGGCGCCCAGGGGTCTCATATAGCCCAGGAAGTTTTGCAAACGGACGAAGTGGCCCCCCAAAAGGCCCAACAAGGTCCACAGGGCTCTCACGAGTGTCCCGACAGGCCAAAATTATAGATGTCCGAAGAGGTGTTTGAAGGATTTGGCGTTCTTGCCGCTGCGGGCCTCCAGCACTTTTAGGCGGCGCGCGAGGCGCCCAAGACCGCCCCGAAACGGCCCAAGAAAACCCCAACACGGCGTCAGAGACCCCAAGATAACTCGGCCCCAGGACGGCCCAAGAGGCCCGCCAAGAGGGTCCCAAAGGGGTCCCAGAACGGGAGAACACGAATCCACAATTCCAGCTTTTCTCCCCCCATAGGCCCCCAGGAGGCCCGAAGAGGTCCCGACGATGTGCCTCGAGGTTCCCAAAAGGCCCCCCAAGAGGCCCCCAAGAGGCCCGAAAGAGGCTCCAAGAAACTTCAAAACGGCTCCAAAAAACGGCTTCACAACCGCCTTCGTCGAGGTTTCCGAACGGCTTCACATCATGTGCGGATGAACACACAAGAGGCTTCTGACTCACAGCCCATGCGCCGTGGCGGAATGATCCGAAGGTCAATATTATCGTATATATGTGTGTAATATAACTGTTATGTATATACGCGTGATTACGTGTGTATATATACACATACATACACGTATGTACATGCATGTGATTTGTTTATATACATGTAGGCAAATGTATACGCATGTGTACATATGTTCAGACATACATACATACCTACCTACCTACCTACCTACCTACCTACATACATATATACATACATACATACATACATACATACATACATACATACATACACACAAACATACATGCACACGTACAGGCCTGCATACACACATACATGCATTACATACATCAGTACATACATACACATATACATATACACATAAATTTACATACATTGCAAATCGTATATGCGTAAATCTTATTTGTATACGCGTATGTACATATATACATACATGGAGGGTCCTGCCCTTAGGGCATTGGGCAATGCGGAGCCACGCTTGGGAACCCCAGTTCTCCTTCGATCTTTCTGAGTCTCGGACGACGCATATTCGAAATCCCACAGAGAGCCCTTTGCACGACTTTGGGGTACCATCTCACCTGGCGGCAGGTCCCACGACCACCCATAAATGAACTCCCGAGTCAACCTGGCAATGTCCAGCGGCAATTTTGCAATGATGAATCTTCGAGCGCAACTAGAACCTGACCGCGCGCGAAGCGCGTGCGTGATTCTAGTTTGCAGAATACTTGGAAGCAGTGCCTCGTTGCCCTCGCCCGCCCCCATTATGCTCCCTCCTGCGGCTGCCTTTTTCGTGTCAGGTTGGGATACTCCTTGAACGCAGCCTAATACCGTACGCACCTCGACATTGGAATTGTCGCTTGGATGGGACCTGACGGGTCGTGAGCGTTCAGTGATTCGGTCGCGGTCCTCCCCCTTTGCCGTTTCCTCTCCAAAAATGCTCGCCTTGAGACACAAACTCACATGCATCAGTTTCGCACAGGACGTTGAGAGTACGGTCTCTTGAGGTTACCACAGTGCGTTTCGGCGACGAAGAGGTTGATGTGGTTTTTGTGTTGGTGGGCGGGCTGAAACCCAATGCATGTCAAGCGCATTGATTTTCCACGCTTCTACATGTAGTTGGCGGGGGTTCACCACAGTGGACCAAGGAAACGTGCATTCGTAGAAGAGCTGGCGGTGCTTCATCCACTTGTTGGTTCGTCGCGTAACGCAGCCTTGAGTGCATTGGATCCACGTCCTCTGCGGCTGAATCGTCTAATAATCTTGGCGCGGCCCCTGCTAGGGATCTGGTGCCTCCACCCATTCGGGAAAGCGGCCCCGGAGACCACTGAGCGCAACATGAGGAGGCACGCGACGGGCAAGCACGCCAACTACAGACGCGTCATTGCATGCAGTGTTGTGCTGCGCCTTGCGCCGTTCAATGCGTAAAGCGCAATGCATTTGCGAAGCAGTTATATCAGCGACAGGCCGTTCAAGCGACGTAGACACGATTGATATTGAATATCTTGTTGTACGCGTCGTCGGTGACCGACTGCCTCCTATCTGGCGGGCCGAACACCAGGATGTGAGCAACGCCACCCCGCTCCAGTGTTCCGCAAACCTCTTCCCGGACAGGCACGTGCCCGTCTCCTCTCCTCGTCCTTCCCAGACCTCCTCCTCGCCTGTCCCCATTGGCGCGCGCTTCCGCCGGCCCCGCCGAGGTGCTGGAGGCTGTCAACCGGCTGGCCGACCAGCTGGCCCGGCGCCCCGCCACCCGCCGCTGGTGCTGCTGCCGCCCGCGGCCGTCCGCGTCTGCTGCCGAGGGCTTCCTCCGCTGCCGCCACGGCCCGCAGTCCTGCTGGGGCTCGGCCGATTGCCCAGATGAGCGGGCTCATGATAAGAACGTCGGGCGCCCTCCGAAGGCAGGGAGGAGGAGGAGGAGGAGGAGGAGGAGGAGGAGGAGGAGGAGGAGGAGGAGGAGCTGGAGCGAGGAGCAAGAAGCAGTGACGACGGGAGCGGAGCAGCAGCGGCGAGGAGGAGAAGGAGCGTGATGCAGAGCGGGGAAGCGCAGAGGCGGCGGAGGCGGAGGAGGGGGGACTCCGAGGAGCAGTATCGGGGAAACGCAAGACTCGAGTACGCCGGAATTCGGGTTTGCCAAGATTTTTTTGACGAGCGCGTCCTGGATTTTGACGGTCCAGTTTTCGTGGGATGCTTGCAGGGGGAGATCGCGTCAAATTTCAGATTGGGTCTCGTCATTTTCATTGATGGCCCCGTCAGGCCAACCCGAGTCCCCCGAACCCGAGTCTTACGTCTCCCCGATAGCAGCAGCTTGCCCTTGTGCGGGGTGTCCAGAGAACAAGGACCCCGCTTAAGATGTGGCGAGTTAACAACAGCTTCAGATGGAGGGCGGGTGGTTTTCAACATGTTTTTTTTTGCCGTATCACCGCGCACAATCGTTTGACACGTTTTGCAAACAAATCGCAGTTGGAAGGCGGGCCGTTTTCAAAAAAATGTGTTCGCTTTTGCGTCGCGAGCACGGGTCTTGAAGATGTGCAAGAGTTTCATGGGGTGAAGGTGGGTCGTCTTCAAAACGATTGTACGAGTTTCACGGATTGAGGGCGGTTCATTTTCAAAATGTGGTCATCGCCAAAGCGCCGCGCTCATTCGTTTTAAACATACGCAGGGACTTTCACGGATTGAGGGCGGCCATTTTTCATCATGTGGTTCTCGTTTTGGCACCCCGCACATTCGTTTCAAACATTTGTAGCAGTTTCATGGGGATCCAGTGCTAACGTACCAGACAGCGCGTTGGAACGGTTCTGGTTTGCTAGTGCGCAACAGTTACGCGGATTCGTGGTGTTGAAGTCCGAGGAATGATGTTCTGGCACGATTTAGAATCGTGGTGACGCAACAGTCAGGTTCATTCGTGGCGTTGATGTCCCAGGACTGGTGTTTTGGCACGGTTCTGAATTTTCAAACGGTTGTCTCCCAACGGGGCATTTCTCTCAGTGGAAATTTATATTTGTAAGGGCTTATGAAGAGGGAACTACGAGTGAGGGTGTATTCTAACATCGTTGAAGGGTTTACATTGGTCATCATCAGCAGCAGCAGCAGTATCATCATCAGCATCATCCTCCTCATCATCATCAGCATCATCATCATCACCATCATCATCTTCCGGTTCGTTCCTCCTCGTGCGTGTCCTATTGTTTCGTTTGCTCCTCGTATTTGCGTTTCTCTTCCTACTCGTTGTCCTCCTGCTCCCCTCGCTGCCCTCCCCGTCATCCACGTTGTCGTCCTCGTCATCCGCCGCCTTGTCTTCGCCATCTTCATCCTTCTCTCCTCCTCCGCCTACAAGCCCAAATGACAAAATCGGCGCCTCCCGTTCTTGTCCCTCGTCCGATCAGGTTTGTCCACGCCTCAACGTGCCGCAAGCACTGTGGCGGGTCTGTGCGTCCCTGGGCCTCGTCAGATCCGTTTGGACTGTGTTCTGCCGTGCAGCGGAGTGGGGCGGCGGGGCGGAGGAGCCAGAGGACGGGCCCGCGGTGCTCCACTCCGCTCGGCTCGGCCATGCCCGCGCCCGCTCCTCCTTGAGCCCTCCCTCTCAATGCTCTGCTCTCCCGAAACCTCCACCCATGCTCCATCCACCTCCCCCTCCTCCCTCGAGCCTCCATCCTCCCCCCCTCCTCTCGAGCCTCGAACCTCCATCCTCCCCCCTCCTCCTTCTCCTCCTTCTCCTCCTCGAACCTCCATCCACCTCCCCCTCCTCCCTCGAGCCTCCATCCTCCCCCCTCCTCCCTCGCTCTCGAGCCTCGAACCCTCCTCGTCCTCGAGCCGCGACCTCGGTGGCAGGCTAGGCACAGCTGGACGAACTGCATACTTGGCACCCCGAGGCGCTCCTCTCGAGAAAGCGCTCCTGCGAGGGGTCCTCCCCGCGGATTGGGGAGGGCGGCTCTCTTCTGATGTCTGTTTGGTGTTGCCCCTGAGCATCAAAAAAACGTCAGTTGTCGCCGCGATGGCGAGCAGGGCGGCGGCAGGGGCGGCGACGGCGGTCGCGAGGACGACGGCGATGACGAGACCGGCGGTGCGGACAGCGGCCTTTGTGCAGATTGCGTCGGGGATGTTTCTCTCGCGCAACTCGTCGCGCTCCAGGGATCAAGGCCTTGGCAAGGCGGCCCCCCCTGCTCAACCGCAGTGCTTGACGCTCGCTGCGCGACGCTGCAACCACCACAGGGACCCCGCGGAGACCTGGAGGAAACCGTTCGGAGGCAGGCGGGCTTGCGAAAGCAAGCAAGGCCACGATTGAGACAGCAGGTTCGCCATGAAACGTATCGGAAAATGCGGCGAAACCGCGGGATCTTTGAGGACACCACTGGAAGCCGCTCATTGTTGGACGAGTCGCAATCGCAACTTGCATGTTTGACCGTACCCCGCGATCCGTGTGCTATGTCCGCCTTTTGTGTGTATTTTGGATCTGAGCTAGAGGTGTGGAAGCCGCCCGCCAGGCCCGCTCGGCTTCCTAGATTTTCGCGGGGAACGGGGGGCTCACCCACATCGCACATTCATGGTTGTCGTCGGCAAGCGTCCACCACTTATGACTGCTACCCATAATCGACGCCCGCCCATCGTTCGCCTCCTAGTCACCTTCGTCATCGCCGCCCTCCGATGCAAGCGGCTGTCCTTGAGACACCACAGGAAATTGAAGACACGAGGCTTCCCCTGTCTGATGGTGGCAAATCGACGAGCAAAAAACTGCCAACAACTGAACATTGGAAGGGCCGCGCGGATCTCTTGGATCAGCTCTGACCCCCTCCCTGGCGCGCGGATCGCGCAAGGGCGCCAGGGGCGAAGCGCTGGAGGCGCCGCCAGGGGGGCCTGGCGCCGATCCGAGAAGTCTGCGCGGAGTTCCCGAAGTTTCTGTTTGGTATGTCTTTGCTTCCTGAGCAGAAGCTCCTCCTCCTCCTCCTGCTCCTCCTTCTCCTCCTCCTGCTTCTCCTCCTCCTCCTGCTCCTCCTCCTCCTCCTCCTCCTCCTCCGTCTCCTCCTCCTCCTCCTCCTCCTCCTCCCCGTCCTCCTCCCGAAGTTTCTAGGTCAGGAGCACAGGTCCCCCAGTGGAGGCCGGTCGGCGTCGAGCCTCCCAGCCCCGCGCCGCTCCGCCGCGTGCCCGTGATGAGGTCGAGTACTTGTGCGCGAGCCAGAGGATTCAGGAGCGCCCCCGCGGCGGCGTGGCCGCGGCCAACAGGAGGGATGGGGAGGAAAAGGCGGAGGAGGGGGAGGAGGAGGAGGGGGAGGAGGAGGAGGAGGAGGAGGAGGAGGAGGAGGAGGAGGAGGAGGAGGAGGAGGAGGAGGAGGAGGAGGAGGAGGAGGAGGAGGAGGAGGAGGAGGAGGAGGAGAGGGAGAGGGCGGAGGAGGAGGAGGAGGAGGAGGAGGAGGAGGAGGAGGAGGAGGAGGAGGAGGAGGAGGAGGATCGCATTTGGACAGAACCCCCACCCTGACACGTCGATTAGTAAATTGTCCGTCTGCGGTTCTCGAGCGGGCGCCGCGGCCGTCACTTTCCAGGCTTGCGCTCGCCAGGTTTGGGCCCGAGGTCGTTTTCACAAAACAACGTTTTACTAAGGGGGTTCTGACAATCCCCGAGAGGAGGAGGAAGATCAGAGGAAACCCAAGACCCATCAACGATGTAGCAATTCGTAAGCCTCCTCATCGGTCCCTACAGGGATCCACTGCCGCTGAGGGAACGCCCCGCTGGAAGACAACTGTCTGAAAATCCGGCACGGTGCCAGAACACCATTCCTGGGACGTCAACGCCGCAAATCACCATTATTGTTGCGTCCGGACGATACTGAATCGTGCCAGGACACCATCCCACCGCGAATCAACGTAACTGGTGCGCCCTGACAGTATAGCATCGCGCCGAAACGCCATGCCTGGGACGACAACCGGGAGAACCCTGGACAACGCTGCAAGCTTGCGGCGCGATGGCGAACGCCACATTTCGAAAAGGTACCGTCATCCATCAGCGCCACGCGTGCAACGTTTATGGCGAGGGGGCGCGGTGCTCGGGCGAGGGCCACATGTTGGAGACAGGCCGCCCTCCATCCGCGAGGCGCTTGCATTTAGGATGAACGTGCGCGGCGCTGGGGCGAGAGCCACCTTTTGGAAACGGCCCGCCGTCAATCCGTGGAACTCTGCTGACGTTTAGAGCGAATGCGCGCGGCGCTGGAGCGAGACAAGCAGTTGGACATCGTGAATGGTTTGCAAGTGGTTAGTTGAAGGATCCTACATGGTGAGGACGTCTCAGGCGAAACGCCCAGTTGCAGTAACACACGCCTCGGGGTACGAAAGAGAGCAGTTATGTAGAAGGAAGGGGGATGGAGGAGGAGGAGGAGGAGGAGGAGGAGGAGGAGAAGAGGGATGGGGAGGAGTTAGGTCCTACTTAGGTGACAAGGAGAGGGATAGGGAGGGGTTAGGTAATGAGAGATGGAGAGGTGAGAAGAGCAGGAGGAAAAGGATGAGGAACAGCATGATGAATAGCATTCAAGGATCGAGGCAATGTCCTAAAAGAAAGACGACACAGCAGACGAGACGGCGACCGCGACGAGGACACCCTCCGCCTGGCACCGTGACCAGGATCTGGAGCGGAAGATCAAGCGGTCTTCCCATTGCCCTTGCACACTGACTGGCAAGAGCTGTGTACATCAGAGGATGAGGAGGAGGAGAAGACGGTGGTCGAGCAGGAGGACGAGCAGGAGAAGCAAGATGAGCAAGGCTCGGGTCAAGTGGGGGGGAATCGGGAGAGGGGAGAGGAGGAGGAGGAGGAGGAGGAGGAGGAGGAGGAGGAGGAGGAGGAGGAAGAACAGTATGAGCAGGAGTCAGAGGAGCGGGAGGAGCAGGAGGACCGGCAGAAGCAGGAGTCGGAGGGGCGGGAAGAAAAGCTGGAGGCGGAGAACGCAGCGGGGCGACAACGGCGAGCCCGTTCTCGGGTCCAGAAGTGTGGGCCGCGCTGTGGTGCGAGCGCTATTCTGGACAGCGGAAAGACCGCGGACGTGCCGTGGTGGGTTCCTCGATCGCTAGCGGTGTAAATCAGAGCGTGAATTACCTACCCCGCTTTCGCTTCCAGGCAAGACCAAGTCATACCACGCGCCTCCTCGTCAAGCGGCCTGACCAGTACAGGCCGTAGTGTGGCATCGTTTTGTATCTCTTGGAAGCGAGCGTGGTCAAAAGCGAGGTAGGTTTGTTTCCCCCCTAAAAGCCAGCTGCATGCGCCAACATTTGCAGGTCGTTTTCTGTCGTCCGACCGGGGAGGGGAAGAGGGAGGACAAAGGTTGAGGATCGAGGCATTTGGACATGTTTGGGCCTCTGGGGCGTTCGTGGGACCTTGCGTCGTCACGGCGGGATTCTTCTCGAGGTCCAGGTCAAAACGCACCGCAGGAGAGGTGTGGGGAGGGAAGCGGTTTTGACGGGATAGTTAGGGGCCCAGGTTCTATGGCGACTCAGACAAGCTCCTCTGATGTTACCTCCTCTCAGAGCCCGTGAGGCCGTGCCTGGGCCTCAGAATTCAAAAACGGCTCATGATTTACCAAAGTAATCCCACAGGCTAGCCTTGTGAACAACCACAACTCGTCGGAGGCCTGAGGAGAAGGAGCAGGAGCAGGAGGGGGACTGCGAGAGAGGGAGGGAGGTTGAGGACGGAGGGAGAGAGGACGGGAGGGAGAGAGGGAGGGAGGGCGGAAGGAGGAGGAGGAGGAGGAGGAGGAGGAGGAGGAGGAGGGGGAGGAGGACGGAGCGGGCCAGGCAGGGCGGAGCGACTATGTGGCTGGAGGCAGGGCCGTCCCGCACCACTTGCAGCGACTGGCTCGCAGGGAGGGACCTCCGTGCGCCCCGGAGCCGCCGCCCGGCCGCGCGCGAAATGGCTCCGGAGGGGGGCGGGGCCGCCAAGAAGTGGAGGTGCACGACGTGTCTGCTCGAGTGGGACGCAGGCCTCATCAAGTGCAAGGCTCGGGTCAAGTGGGGGGAATCGGAGAGGGGAGAGGAGGAGGAGAGGAGGAGGAGGAGGAGGAGGAGGAGGAGGAGGAGGAGGAGGAGGAGGAGGAGGAGGAGGAGGAGGAGGAGGAGGAGGGAGGAGGAGGAGGAGGAGGAGAGGAGGAGGAGGAGGAGGAGGAGGAGGAGGAGGAGGAGGAGGGAGGAGGAGGAGGGAGGAGGGAGGAGGAGGAGGAGGAGGAGGAGAGGAGGAGGAGGAGGAGGAGGGAGGAGGAGGAGGAGGAGGAGGAGGAGGGAGGAGGAGGAGGAGGAGGAGGAGGAGGAGGAGGAGGGGGAGGGGGAGGGGGAGGGGGAGGGGGAGGGGGAGGGGAGGGGGAGGGGGAGGGGGAGGGGAGGGGAGGGGGAGGGGAGGAGGGGAGGGGGAGGGGAGGGGAGGGGAGGGGAGGGGAGGGGAGGGGAGGGGAGGGGAGGTGTCGGCCCCGCCGCTGGGCGCCTGCTTCGATACACCGGCGCCTCCGGCGCCGCCGGGAGGCGGCGGGAGAGCCGTCTGCGCGAGCCGATGCGCTGACCCTGCCCTTCGCTGCCCCCCCCCTTGCTTCGTTCAGGCGATCGCATAGGGGGCCACATGCGAGCCCTGCCCCAACAGGGCCTCAAGAGGATCCCCAGGAAGCCCCAAGAGGCCCCCAAGAGGTCTCCAAAAAAGGTCCCAGGGGGCTCCCCCGAGACACCCGAGACTCTCCAAGAGGCCCCTAGGATAGGGGGCCACACGCGAACCCTGCCCCTATACCCCCACGATTTCTGAGGGGGGAGGGTGGGGTTCGCTTCACTCGGGAGCTCCCGAGCGAAGTGAACCCCACCCTCCCCCTCAGAAATCGTGGGGGGCAGGGGCAGGGTTCGCATGTGGCCCCCTGTCGCAAACATGGATCAGGGGGGCGTGGATTAGCGACGCGTCCCGTGTTCATCGGGAACCGCGGAGTCCCGCCGCCGAACGGGGCGGCAGCGGCCGCATTTCGGGGAGGCGCGCCACGTGCGTGGCTTGCTAGTAGCCATGTCTGCGCGCCCCCCCCGTCGTCCGACCCGAAAGAGGCCTGTGAGAGCTACCAGCCCGGCCTCTCGGAGGCCGACCTCGAGAAGCTGAAGGCCGACGAGGAGCGGCAGAAGGCGGACACCATCGCCAAGTTTCTGGGCGCGCCTGCGCCCGCCAGCGCGGCGGGCTCCGGCTCCGCCTTCAGCTTCAGCGCCGCGCCCTCCACCGGCGGCTTCACCTTCGGCGTCTCCCAGGCGTGTGGGATGCCCGCCGCGCTTGTTTCAGGAGGAAAAGAAACACACAGACACAATTAATCCTCGATTCCCCAGGAAAATATGGGAAAATATGGGAATTGGGCGGGAAGACAAAAACCCAGAAAATATGGAAACATATGGGGAATCATTTTATTTTTGTGTATTTACTTGTGTGTCCTTGGGCCCCTTGACTCTTGCTCCCGAAGTCCCCCCTGCCCTCTCCATCTCGCTGGCCTCCCCCCCAACCACCCCCGACCGAGAAGGGGGCAAGGGGCGGAGGGAGGAGGAGGGGACGAGAACGAGAGAAGGAGGATGAGGAGGAGGCGGGAAAAGAAAGGGGAAGGCAAAAGCTAGGAAGAGGGAAATATGGGGAGGCGGAGGAGGAGAGGGGATGGGATAGGGGAGGACCACAGGAGCTCGGGAAGGGGAGGGGCAGGAGCGAGGGGACGGATAGGGGGAGAGAGGGCTCTTGGGCAGGAGCACAGCTCCTCCTTCGCCGCCGCCGCCCCCTCCCCCTTATCCTGTCCCTGTTGCGCTCGAGTGAGTGTTGCAGGGACGTTTCCTCAGAAGGGCGCACCGCTCGTGCGAGCCAGGCGCTCCTCGTTCATCCGTGCTGCAATGGTCCCGCATCACCAGCGTCATGCCAGTGCGCGTGATTGGCTCGGCATCGCTCGGACGTGTGCATTTTTTCTTCGGCGAGGACCATCGAGGAGCATCCTCGATCATTTGGCGAAAAAGCCACGCACGAAACCGAAAAAAACACAGGGAATGGACGTCCGAGCGATGGCGAGTTGGGGCAACGTGCCGTGGCGGGGCAAGGGTACGCACCAGAGGTGAGGCGCAGAGCCCGGGAGGGGCAAGTGGCAGTGTCCTGGGTGCGGGCGCAGAAATACGGCAGCTCAGGAGGGGAAGAAACACACAGACACACTTAATCGTCGATTCCAAG